GCTCTGCCCCAGAGAGCAGGTTTTAAATATTCTCTTAAATTTAAATTATCTTGAAATGGTGGATGTGCTCATCCACTGCTACTGGATCATTCCAAATATAGACATGCATCAAAAAACATTAGACTCTATAAACATAAGCATTGCTTTTGAGACAGGGTCTCATGTAGCCTAGGCCGACTCCAAACTTGTAGTTGAAGATGACTTTGAACTTCTGACCCTCCTGCCTCCAACTCCCATATGCAATTATTATCTATCAATTAAAAATAAAGTAAGTTGGGGGCTAGAGAGGTTGCTCAGTGGTTAAGTGCACTGGTCAGAAGAGGGTGTTGCATTTCCCCTGGGACTGGAGTTATGGACAGTTGTTAGCCGCCATGTGGGTGCTAGGAATTGAACCTGGATCCTCTGCAAGAGCAGCCAGTGCTCTTAACTGCTGAATCAACTCTCCAGCCCTGCTATTAAGCTAATTGTTTTGTTTCGCAGTGCTAGGTGTTGAACTTGGGGCTCTGTGAATTCCGGGTCAACAGCACTACAACCCAAGCCCTTGTGTGCTACCCTAGATGACAAATCACTCTGATGCCTCCAACTTCCACACATTGCCTTGTGGGGCATCCTAGCCTTCTTGGGGCAGATTTTTTTTTTTTCAAAACAGGAAATGATGATGACAGGCTCCTAACTACCCCACCTTAAGTAGCTCCCTAACTCCCAAACTCCATCTGCTCCACTCCCTGCACCATCCCACCACCTTGCCTCTCCTTCCATTTCCCTGGTCTGTTTGCTGTGCCATTCCCTGTTGAGAGGCCTGTGTACCACATTTAGAGGCCCTGTGAGCCCTTAGTCAAGATGCTGGGACTGGCTCTGAGCTTGATCAAGATAATTGGGGTGAGAGGGAGTCACCTCGCTGTCCAGGGCACTTAGGAGTTAAAAACCTAGGAACTTCTTAAGTGTGCAGGGGAACCTGGGCCCAGGTCAGAGAATGTGAGCCTGGGGTTGAAGAAAGAGCGTGTGAAAATAACTTTACAGAGGAGTGATTCACATAGTACAAAAATCTACCCTTTGATAGTGCGATTGAATGGTTTTTAGTAAATTTACAGAGCTGTGTGTTCACCATGATCCAATTCTAGAACATTCTATCACCACCCTCCAACAAAGAGAATGAGCACCCATTAACAGACACTTGCCATCCACCCCCGACACCCTCCCTCCCAACACTGAAATCAAGGATTTTTCTGTTGCTATGGATGTGCCTGTTCTGAATGCGTTGAAGGGAATCACACAGTGTACAGACTTCTGTGTCTGACTTCTTTCACTCAACATCTTGGGTTTGTTCTATGTTTGTGTGTGTGTGTGTTCCCACATGTGGAAATGTGTGTGCACATGTAGAGACCAGAGGACGACCTCGGTGTCGTTCCTCATTCTTGGTCCACCTCACTTCTTTTTATTTTTACTCTGTCTCTGTGGGGACCCCACGAAGGCCAGAAGAGAGCATTGGGCTCCCTGGAGCCGGAGTTACGGGTGGTTTTGAGCCACTTGACCGGGGTGCTGGGAACTGAACGTGGATCTTCTGGAAGAGCAGCAAGTGCTCTTACATCTCAACTTGTTTGTTTTTGAGACAGGGTCTCTCATTGGCCCGGAGTTTGCCTCAAGCAGTCTAGGCTGCCTAGACTAGCGAGCCCCAGGAATCTGCCTGGCTCTGCCTCCCTAGATCTGCGATTGCAAGCATGCCCACCACACCTGTTTTTTCAAAAAATATTTCATTTATTATTTTATGTGTATGAGTATATTGCATGTATGGGTGTACATGTACCCATGTCGTGCAATGCCCTTGGAGGTCAGAAGAGGGCATTGGGCTCCCCTGGAACTGGAGTTACAGATGGTCGTTAGCCTCATGTGGGTGCTGGGAATTGAGCCTGGGTCCTCTGCAAGAGTAGTCAGTGTTCTTTACTGTTGAGCCATCTCTCCAGGCCCCCCACACCTGTTTTTTTTGTGTACATTTTGGAGATGTAACTGGTCCTCATGCTTGTAAGGAAAGCACTTGACCTTGGCCCAATAGCAAGGTTTGTTTGTTGGTCTGTTTGTTTATTTTTGAGACAGGATCTCCCTACATAGCCCACACTGGCCTTCAACTCATGATTCCCCTGCCTCAGCCTCCTGTGTGCTGGGATTACAGGCATGTGTGCAGACAGCAACATGTTTGGGAGTTTATCTGTACTCTGGTGTATGGCTGTTTCTGGCTGCCTGTTGCCCTTGGTGAGGGTCAACAACCTCTTCTCCTTCTGTACACCTGCTACTGGATGCTGGACCATGTCTGCTTTAGATGTTATGAATCCCACTGCCATGGAGGGGTTAGATGAGGCCGTAAGGCACCACCACTCTGCAGTGCTCAGGGTGAATTGGCTCTCATGGGGCACCCAGCAACACTGCCCCGTCCCAAGGAAAGGTCTCTGTCTGCTGCACTTCCCATCCTCCACTTGCTCCGCAGAAATCTTGTGCTTTGCTCTTTTAGAGACTGTGCAAACCAGGAAGCGAAGCACAGCCAACTTGGAAACACAAATATTTGCCAGTCAAGAAAACATTCCCCTGTCAATCAAAAGCTGGAGGAGCCGGCACAGGCGCTCTGTGGGAGCCGGAGCAGCTGCTGTTCTGGCATGGGGGGGGGGGCAGCTTCTCCTGCTCCCAACATGCCCCAAGCCCCGTCCCTCCATCTTCAAAAGATGAGGAAACTGAGGCTCAGAGTGGTCACACAACAGTGACCTTCGTCATGTCTGTGAATTCATGACCTCGTGAAGGAGACACAGGGTCTGCAAATGACAACTTCCAGTGCGGATAGGCAGGGGGATGGGCAGGGCTTAACCAAGGCTGCCTTTGTCTTCCCAGGGTCCCGGAGGCAAGCAGACGGGGAGGGGCCGTAGCTAAAATGGGCAATTTTCTGCTTGGATTAGAAACCCAGTCTACACATCCTTCATGACTTTTTTCTCCTCCTCGTCGTCCGCTTCCTTCTCCTTCTCTCGCCCCCCCCCCCCCCCCCCCCACCCTTTCCTTCTCTCCCCCCCCCCCCCCGCCCCTTTCAAGACGGGAGTCTCACTTTGGGCTGGAACTGCTGTGAAAACCAGGCTCCCGTCAAACTCACAGAGATCTGGAAGCCTGGGATTAAATAGGCAAGTACCACCATGCCTGGCTTTTTTGTGGTAGTAGGGATGGAACCCAGGGCTTTGCCCTCTTACACATGGAAGGCAAGTGTGCCACCGCTGAGCTACATCCCCACTCTTTCTTTGTTTATTTTTGAGACAGCGGATGCTGTGTAGCCCAGGCTGGCCTCCCCGTTGAGAGCCTCCTGCTTCCATTTCTGGAATTCTGAGATTACAGGTGTGAACCACACCGCCTGGCTTCTCTAAGCTTTTCTTCAAGACCTTTTGAAACCAGCCCGGCTGGGACTAACTCCTCCCTGGGAGTGTCCCTGCTGTGCTCCTGCCCTGTCAGTCACCAGCTTGGTTAAGGTTCAGCTGCCCTCACCCCTGACCTCTGACTCTAATTCCCCAGGAGAGCCACGTTAAAATGGAAATATTTCAGGAACTCCAGCACTGTTGGCTCATTTAGGCCCTCTGGACACGGGATTAAGAATGTCAGGCCTAGTGAGCAGGTAGGTGTGCATCATCACAAAACATTTGTGGGGCTGGGGTGTAGGCCCATGGAAAAGCGTGTGCTTAGTGGAAAAATGTGGTTAGCACACGGGAGGACTGGGGTTCAATCTTCTCAATTGCAATAATAATAATAATGAGCTGGGTGTAGTGGCACATTCCTTGGCCTCTGAGAAATGGAGGCTAGCCTCACCTACATATTGAGTTCCTGGCCAGCTGGGGCTATAGGGAGATCCTGTCTCAGTGGTTAAGAGTGCATAGTAGTCTTCCAGAAGACCTGAGTTCAGTTCCCAGCACACACACCTCACAACCAGCTCCAGCTCCAGGGGGTCCCACACCTCTGGCTTCCCCTGGCACTGTACTGAAGTGCACAGGCACACAGATAACTGAAAATAAATCTTTTTGGGAGTAGACCCAGCTGACCTGGAACTCACTATATAAACCAGGCTGGCCTTGAACTCACAGGGGTCTGCCTGCTTCTGCCTCCTGAGTGCTGGGATTAAAGGCGTGTGCCACCATGCTCAGCATTTTTGATTTGGAAATACTTTTTTTTTTTTTGGTCTTTTTGAGACAGGGTTTCCCTGTAGCCCCAGCTTTCCTGGAACTCACTATGTAGACCAGGCTGGCCTTGAACTCACGGAGATCTGCCTGCCTCTGCCTCCCGAGTGCTGGGATTAAAGGCGTGTGCCACCACACCCGGCTGATTTTGAAATTATTTATTGTTTTTATTTTATATGTATGAGTGTATTGCCTGCATGTACATAAGTGCACCCGTGTCATGCAATGACCGCAGAGGTCAGAAGAGGGCTTCAGATCACCTGGAACTGGAGTTATGGACGGTCGTTAGCTGTCATGTGGGTGCTGGGATTCGAACCCGGGTCCTCTACTGAGCAGCCAGCACTCTTCACCACTGAGTCATCTCTCCAGCTCTGGCATTTTCGTTTCTAACCAGTATACAAAGACTGTAATACGAAAGGGAAGACCTTTCCGTCATCCCACGTCTGTGTTAAAGGGTCAGCGATGTCCAGGCACCCTGAGCTGGGTCTGGAATAAGTGCCTTTACCCTGGATCCCAGCAGCCTGCTAAACTCAGGCTTAAGCAAAGGCTCAGCGGCCGGGGGCGGGGTCAAGGCGAAGGGAGGGGGCCAGAGGCGGGGCCTGAGGAGCGGGACAGGAAGGGGCGGAGCTAGGACCCAAGAGATGGCTGGCCGGCTACAGGAAGGGGCGTGGTGACCATCCGTGAGGGGGCGGAGCCAAGCCACGGTTCTGGGCGGGGCCTGGACGCAGCCTCGCTCGACTCGCCAATCCGCCGGCTCGTACCAACTTCCGGGTCCTCCTTTCCCCTCCCCGCCGTCCGCGCGGAGAGCGCCGTGGTCCGATAGGCCGCGGAAGGGCGTCTTCCGGTTGAGGGCGGGCCCCGCAGGGTGGCGGGAAAGCCGCGGTCGCGGCGCCTCCTCTGAGAAGCTGAGGGGCAGGAGCCGAGCCGCTCGCCGCCATGGATGCGGCCGAGGTGGAGTTTCTGGCCGAGAAGGAGCTGGTGACCATCATCCCAAACTTCAGTCTGGACAAGATCTACCTGATCGGGGTGAGGCGACTCGGCAGGG